TATTCATTCCATGATAAAATTCTAATGAAAGTTACAAAACGGAAAAATTCTAGATTAATGAAAGCTTACGTTTCCTAAGCCACAGATAAATTTAAAGTTAATAAGATTGAGAAAATCATTATAATATTACTTTGACTCAAACTAAACCAATACTACTTAGGGAGTTACAGACAACTTTGAGAATCTGGAAATCATCTAGTATACAAAACAGTCAATCTCTTCTACAAGCTGGAAAAGTTGTGTGATATGACGAAAGAGAATTGAAAAATTACATGTTTACTTGTCAAAATATTTTATATGAAGACCGAAAAAGATCATATAAATCATAAGCGATAATTGAAAGTATAAGAGTGACAATATAATATACGATGGCAATGTTGAAATTAAAATCGGGGTGCTAGATTAGGAAGGTGAATTGACTAGCGAAGTAATTTATCCTTATCTACTTAGATGCTTCGGACATGTATTATGTGCGCTCATCCACCGACTATCTCAACGCCCAACGATGGATGATGTATGAGGTTGGAAGACAGCTTTGGTTGGCCAAACCAAGACATAGTGTCAGTTCATAAACATAAAGACTGATGGATGGACACATTTAGGTAGGTACAGACAACCTGGTTATGGTCCATGTGATTGTCGTAACCAGTGGTTGGATATCTTGGGTGGTACAACTCAGAATCGTCCACATTCCTGTACGTCCATTCACTTTTTATCTTCCCTTAGATAATGATTTTCTAAACTACCTTAATAACTTTTACTTTATTTCACTGGTCGATATCTTCTTTTACAGTCGTATTCTCGATCACAGGTTCTACGTTTTGTACGAGTAACTGACTGTATTAAACCTAAAATAATTAATTTATACAAAACCAAAAAGACCTAAAGTTTCATACTTTCTATGCATTTTGATCTAAACCTGGTTTTATAAGATGCCTTTTCAGAAGAACCCGATGCGTTGGTACTAAAAATTTAATTGAACACGTCAAAAAGCCAAACAAAACACTATTAACCCTCAAAGTTTATAAATTGGCGTAAAATTAGGCGGACACAGTATCCGATCTTTAGTTTGTCTTGTAAAAAGGGATTATTATCACGTTTAAATACTGATGAGTATCGAACAGAGCATTGTAAAACGCAGGCCGCAATCAGCCTTCAAAAAATATAATGCTGTCAAGTCGATCATCACTAAAAGCGCATTATTCCACATAAACTCAAGCATTATATCCCATTTTACTTCCTAATTCATATGTATAAAATAAATATATATCAAGGGGAGTAATAATGTTAATCGACAGGTCTCGATTGGCCCACGGAACAGACAACCTAGTATCTTTATAACGAGGCACATACTAGAAGTAAGTTGTAGGATTGACCTTCAAACAGCTTTTAAGTCTTTTATAAAAAAAATTGAAACACATATGCCAACAGATATAGACAAAGTTCAGTCCACAATATCAGCTGGAAAATTTAAACCCTTTTTTGTATAGCTTCATACACGTTTGGTAGGTATGTGACTCTCTAGACCCAGTAGCTCAGTGTATATCGCATTAGTTTTTAGAGCTAGATGAACTGGGTTGTAGGTGCATTTAGCTAACAAACCCCTAAATAGAACGAAATACCATTTCTGGGCCTCGCTGTTATCCACAGTCCAACTTTAGTAAAGCTATCAAAATTTTCTATAGACATTACAAAGAACGTAATGTTTGACTGTCGATATCCTGAATATTTCAAAGTTTAAGTCCCCTCCATATTTTTTAAGTAATTTGTTCTCACCTTAAATCTACCCAGCAAATTTAAATCCATTTTAATACTAAGAATTTTATAACAGCTTCCTACTATTTTGATAATAAATTATGTCTTTTATACCTATAATTATAGCTTTTAATTTATGTAGCCAACTTCATTTTAAATGTGAAATACTTTGCCAAGTAAATATTCAATAAAAATGCTTGAAAAGTATTCCACAAACACATTACATTTTTCAGGTCAATTTTGCCTCCTCAATAAACTTTCGAAAGATATAAGATTTCTTGTAATTGTATCTTGTGTTAAGAAAGATTTCATAGATTTTGTAAATGTGTTGTATGCAAATGCACTTTCTCCATCAACTTTATGTGAATCAACTGAAGTGAATCTCAAAGATATATGTGTTGATGCGTTTATTGATTACAGAATGACCTGAATCCCTGGCTTCTCAAAATTACCTAACGTTCTTGAGACTTCTCTGATCTAAGATTTTTGTATTTTGCTCAGTTAACTTTATGTTCTTAGTTATCTGCCTTAGCAAATCATGCTATGTGGTTGGTAGTCAACGTCAACGTACATGCATCAGTGAAGAAAATGTCCACTTTCTCCAATGTATTGTTGGTTTCAGTTGATACTGTTTACTGAATAAGTGATACTGTATTTATTTTCGTCCATCGTTGTTTTTCCGTCTGCCTGAAATGAGATGAAGTGATGAGTTGCTTTGCTATCAATTTATTAATTGTGGAAGCTCCACAGATTCAAGCAATATGTCATAAACATTTCTCCCTCAGCTACAAATTCGCTTCCTCACTTCAAATTATTACGAATATAGTAGTATAGTTTTTTTGATGGAATTCAACAAGACAACATTAGGGCTTTGGGATTAATAAGCTCCATTTTTCAGAATTTATAACTTCAACGATATATTCTTGTCAGTACTCATATATTCAATAATTATTTTTTATACATTCGTTTTACCTCATTTTATAACTTCGGATTTATACATGAAACTAATAGGGAAAGATTGTAATTTCACAGTTCCTAACTGTTAGGAATTTGTTCTATCAGTCAAACAAAAAACATGATGACGTTTGTCTGGTTGGGATCAAATATATTGTGAGGAGTTATGTCAGTTAATCCTCCAGATTGTAATCCATGTGAAGTTATGGGTGGGCATTACGTACGAGTCACAGACTTGAACAAAACACCTTTTCAATGTGACCTGGTTTTCACTGGTCTCCCTGTTAATATCAGCTGGCAAAGAATACTCTCAAAAGTTGCCAGAGTCTTAAATAATATTACTGTTGAACAGTTTATATGAGGGAGGGTTAGCAAAGGAGAAAGTTGTTGACTTAAGCTGCCAGATTTTCCAAATGCGTTCGTAACTATCTCTATAATAACAGATATTAAATAGGAATATCAAGTGGCTTCTTACATCGAATGTTCACATAGCAGTAGAGCATGTCATGTCTGTCTAGTTGTTACTGCTGACGATATCCTAATAATCAATGGGAATGAGGACAGTAGTCTAAGTAACTAATAAAGAGTGAACTGTGTTTGGATTTTAGGTGATTGGAAGAGACTGGCAGGAAGCCCTAGAAATAAGTTTCATCCCGGTTGAGAAAAATCAGTATGGAATATCTGTAATCTTGTGTGAACTGATGCTCTCATTGTGATTCTGTCTGAGCCGTATCAGACACATCACAACGGCAACAATCTTATTTTACATTATCAGGCGAGGGTATCAAATCTAAAATAACCTTTTCAACATTGATAATCATCTGCTTAAACTGCACAATTAATAAATATATTTTAAACCTTTCTTACACATTAAAATCTAAAGGTAACTACAAATGTTAATTGAGCTCTTGGTTTGTTTTCAAGAATACTGCTTCTAAACAGGATGCTGAATATTTTTTTATTTCTTTTTTCTTTAAAATTCCCCTTTTAACTGACACTTAACATTAGTTTATCTTAGTTTCAATTACCTAAAAGTGAATAATTATCTTGAATAGTGAAGAATGTTTCAACTACATTACAATTTATTGACAAGAGGCCCCGGAAACATACTTTTTGGCAAAATAAAACCACAACAAAAAGTAAAAACGTAATCCGAAATAAGTACCATGGTAACGAGCTAACAAGTTGAACCATTACAAATTAAACAGGTAAACACATACAATGAGCCTAGTATCACTTAACATAATCATATGAAATTAAATTGGTCTCTGGATGTTTTTGATTCTCACTATCTTCCCTTCTTCTTGTCTTACCTTGTTATCTTTGTTTTATCAAGGTAGTAAGATTCTGGGGGTGGAGAGGGAAAGTCTCAATGAAAATATATCAAATATCAACTTAAGCGGAAGTACACATAAAATTTATTTTATTCGCTGATTTATATACCCTGTACTAAATATTTATTTTGAAAAAAAAATTCCATAGGTTGTTCCCCTTTTGATCCTATCACTATCTCATTTAGCCACATAATCACATAAATATGCACAATCATGTCTGTCTAATATATATGTATATATACATAGATAATATATAATTATCATCTATACATTCTAAGCATTTAATTAATGTATGCGTGTGTGTGTGTGTGTGTTGTACAATTGAGACACGCCTACAATTTCACCTATATGATTTAATCTAATCAATAAACATTCTCACTTTTCATTGGTTATAGAGTAGAGAATTTTCAACTATGAACTATAACATACACATAACAATTTGATACAATAATGAAGCACCGATCAATCAATCTATGAATTCACGAGAAAAATTTCCAAATGGAAGAAAAACAAAAAAACAAAACAAAAAATAAAATAGAAATCATTACCTGTAAAAAATTATCAATGTTCAGAAAAAGAAAAAGAATCTGAAAAGAAAATAACAAAACAACTTTTCTCAAATATTAGTTAATGATACTGGACATTTGTAAAGAAGAATTGAATTGTACTTTATGTAGTTTCTTTTTTTTGATCATGATCATGATCATAATGATGATCAAATGGATTGATTGATTGATTGATTATGATCTCATTACATAATATTGATTTATATCATATTTTAATAAAACAAAATGTTCATTATACAATGCAAATGTTAAGTAATTTAATCATTGAAATAATTATTTTCTGTATAATATTGAATGATTATGATGATGACAATTGGATAATTATCTATTTACATCTAACGAACATTATAATTACTGTTAAGAAGTATTTAAAACAAAACATATTGAAACTATGGATTGGAAGTATAGTAAGTGATAAGAAAAATCTTTTTTATAATGAAAATAATAATTTTAATCATCTTTATTGACTATTGAATAGTCGATCAGTCAGTTAGTCAGCTACAACGTCGGATCAGGTACATATATGCAACGGTCCAAGTTGTCATACTTTATTAGCACAACAAGATTAACACTTGATTCATAGAAGTAGTTAATTTAATGGTGGTAATTTATAAAATAAAGATGGCATATAAGGATATAGTACATGAAGAAAGAATTAGTTCGTTGAAAGGAAGATATGAAGCGATTTTAATCTCATTGTTTAAAGGAAGACAAAGAATGTATACACCTACACCATTGTGGTCGATTCAGAACCATGTACACAGTTTCCAACCATTGGTTACGATAGTCACATGGACCCCAACCAAGTCGTCTGCATCTATCAACATGGCTAAGACTGGATTAGCAAATAAATAGATAGAAGTTAATGCCAAGAAGAAATATCATAATTAAAATACTTTGGAACTCAATAATATTTAAGTTTTCGCCAGAATCTATTCAACTAGAAATTTAATTCAGTGTGAATGATCAAATCAGTAGTATAACAAAGCCCTAAGATAAAGAATGACGTCCTAGTTTAATACTATCATTTGATTTGTCAATAGTCATCCAAGAGAATGTTATTTACTAATTAAACTAACCGTTTTTATTCATCAGTTCCCAAAAATCTTTAATTCAATAATGTTCTGAATAGATTGTTGTTCAAATGTTTGATAACATTGTTATAGTTTTGATGGAAGATTATTAATATTTAATAACATCATGACTGATATTTATTATAATGGGAATCTTTAGTTATATTAATCACTAGGTATAAAGTGAGGAAGTATGAATTTTGTAATAAGGATAACAGGATGATTTTAAAACATCTTACACTATTATTTTTAATTAAATAATATTACATTATAAGTACCAATGGATTCATTTCATGATTACATTAATATAATGATCATTACCGAATATTTCAGCATTACACTACTTTTCAACTAGTTTTAAAAACAATTTTCCCTCCAACTCCGTGGATTGCTTGAAGTTAGATATTAACACCATTGCATTCCGGCCATCTCAGTGGTCTAGTGGTCGAGCTCTTGCGCACGAGATCGATAGGTCCTGGGTTGGAATCTCGCAAGGCCGGATAGTAGATGCTCACTGCTGAGGAGTCTCATGCTACGACGAAACAGCGGTCCAATGCTTCCAGGTTTTCCATGGTGGTCTAGCCACTCTGATTATAATAGATTAATAAGCTAATATCATCACATGAGAGTAATTTGAAAATATCAATCGTTATACATAAATTCAGTGATTGAATGATGTTTCATTTATCTCTAAATCTAAAAATCATGGATTCAATTAAGCGTGAAATTGTTAGTATTCATCAGTGAAGAGGTTCCATGAACTATGACAAAGTATGCTTCAACTGCCCTTTGAACTTTAGTATTTTTTTCTAGTATATATAAAATGTTTATTATTTGAAGATATTAAATACATCAACTTTGACCTTTCTGTTTGCATGTTTAATAAAATCTTGTCATTCCATCAAAAATATATTTATGAAATATATCCCTGAACTGTGAGATAATAAATTATTCCAACCTTCAAATAAATAAACTATTCAGCATAATCGTAATTGTAAAACAACGTGATATATATATAGTTCTAATTTTCACAATGGGAATCTTTGATACTTCTTTCAATAATCAGAAAGTATGTTCATTTAGAGACCAACGTGTAAACTAATGAATGAACAGTTTACCGGTGTCTCAAGGTAACAGGATATCATGATAAACTGGTTTTCTATAAACAATATATCATACATCATGTTTCCAGAGTTCAACAAAATAAGGTGGATAGTATCCAAGAATAGATGAGAAACTTAAAAACCGCATATAGATTTTCGTGATGAAAAATAATCACCAGCCATAAAAACAAGCATACTTGGATTTCAAGACATAGGAATCAGTTATGATGATAGAAAACTTTATAGATCATATAAAAACTATACATATTTTCCTGGATGTTTTTTTAGGATTACCTCAATCTCATAAAAGTGATAAATGTTTTTTTAATATACGTAGCAGTTTCTTTAACTTGACCTGAAATAGCTCATCTTAGTTCTTAATGAGAACGCCATTTTGAATAACTTTAAATAAGATTAATGCGCTGTTTGTGACCAATCAGTATGGATTTTTTCTGAGCTTTTTTAGATTTTGTAAAGTCGGTATGAACTCTTTAGGAAAATCTTTGGAATATTAACAAACCACAAATTACATTATTGTCAAGTCTACTGAAAAAATCAATGAAATTTTAATTTATAAACTGTTCAACTGATGTAATGAGTAAGGAATTAAGCTTAACCATAAGATTCCAATTTTGTTGGCATGTGACTAATCAAAATATTTCATGTTGTACAATCGTCTAAGATATCTACTCTTGTTTATTTTTGTATGTAATTATTTCTATGTCATTTCCTACCAGAAAATAATCTAGTTCGTTAGTTAGTGGCCTATGATCTCTGTTAATTCTAATGAGTATGTAGAAAGGAGATTTGAGTAGTTATTTTAATCTCCTGAGAAATTATCAATCATTCACATTGCTTATAAGCAAATCAAAACCTGTTTTATTTCATCAAATTCATTAATCCATAACACTCATTCAGTTCATTGAAGAAAACAAAAATTCGTAAATATTTTCAGATCAATTTATTTGTAATACAGGAAACATCGATTGTTAGAAAGTGGCGTATAAAATAAAATACTTTATTAACGAGTTATAAAGTATTTATCGAACTGTTGTTTTATGATATTGTCAAGTTTGTTTCAGTTCATATACTTACATCAGATACAATTATTCTCAACGAGCATTTGATTAAGTGCGTCTATATATATCGTAAGCGAATAGGTTGACTATGTATTAATGAGGAGTCCTATACTTGAACGAAATGCCTATTGAGGGCATCGTGGTTTTGAATGGTTATTTATTCAAAATCAGTCCATGATTTGGAGCTTCAGAAGCCTATCAGAAGTTATATGCTCGAAAGCAAATTAAGTATATTTTAAGACCTAACTGAATATTTATTTCATCAGAATAAATTTTTTTACTTGAATGAGAGAATAGAGGAAAAACAAGTGTAGGTGAGTCAAATAAAAAATCAGGCCTGTAGTGAACGAGAACACAAGTGGGGACAATACAGAATTACAGAACAGCTTGGTAAAATCTGAGATCTTAACTTTCTGCCTCCAGACATTTCACTTTCGATTGATGATACATACTACTTATATTCGTTGACATCAGTAGCACACATCATAGGCCGAGAAAAATATGAACTAGAATGATTTCATTTTGTAAAGTCGTAACCAATACAGCTCAACCATATCAGGAGTGAGGTAGGTAACATAGATGACAACTATGAGAAATCGCTTATTGATCGAAATCGGAAACCTGAATCATTAAATTTCAACTCAATGACCTAAATGTTAAGTACGCGTCACAAAGCACAAAGGTTTTGGCTTCGATTACTGTTTTAGCCAGTAATTGATACATTTAAGACCACATAAATGGAAAATCACTAAGTTAATAGCCTTTAATATAAATTACAATTAATGTCGTCATAACAACTATGCTACAACAATTCCTGGTTTTACATACGACTTTAACTTATGGTTAGAATTCATCACCTTAATTAAGGCCCATAATTTTTCTCATCCTTTATGTATGACCCTAGTTTATTCTTATCAAGCATATTATTCTATTTTTTGGTAATTTTTAATATTCAAGACTAAATCGATGTGGTTAACCAATTTCAATGACAAGAGTTTGCAGAAAACCCGTCGATGTTTGAGACAAAGGGTTTTGAGTTAAAGTCGCAATGTGAAAACCAACATTGAGATCCAAGTAAATCCAGATGACGAGTTCTAAGTAGGACGAAATTTCCTGTCCTTCCATCTCTCAATTTTCTAATTTCTTCTCATTTGCTTATTTTACAATATTACAAAGGATACATCAACTAATGCTTTCATCTTCTTACTTTAATCCCTTCATATACACACGCAAGTACACACACATATTCACATCGGTTTTAATAAAAGGAAATAGCTAAAAAACAAACAGGCTTTCATATATATGTAAATCAAATCAATATTTGTTAATCTAATAATAGATAATTATTCCAAGAGTAGAATAGGAAGAATCCATACACGGCGAATTGATAATAAGTTTATAAAAATGGAACTAGCATCATTGTTAGATAAATTTCTGCTTCAATCAAGTCAAAGAAAATGATTGTTGATGAATTTCTGATTTCAGATGTGAAAGTGCAAAGCAAAAATATTGAAAAAGTCAACACTTTTTTCCTGAAAGCTTTGGAAAGTTTGGGTTTCTTTTTGATACCAATTTACTTCTTATCCCATTGTTCGTTCATGTTTGCTGGAAAAGTAATCGTTATAAATTATTTCAAAGAATATAGATAAATCTAGTTAGGTGGTTTGTAGTGAATTGTAAAATTATCAGTATAGGGTTGTGGAAATTATTAAGTTTTTGATTTAGAGTATGAACCGGTTGATGTTAAACCACCTTTGAACACCTGGAAGCATTGGACGGCCGTTTTATCCTATTGTGAGACTCCTCAGCAGTGTGCGTGCACGATCCCGCTCCGGGATTTGAACTCAGGGCCTTCGGTCTCGCACGTGAGTGCTTAACCTCTAGACAACTAAGCCGGAATCCAACGGTGTTAATGTCTAACCTCAACCAATCCTCGAAATCGCGCTACCATCTTCCATTGTCTGAGGTAGATACCTGTCTCTACCCGACAGGGATTAGCGGATTGATTGAGGTCAGACATTAGCACCATTGGATGCCGACCAACTCAGCGGTCTAGATATAAAGCGTTCGCGCGCGAGATCGAAGGCTCTGGGTTCGAATCCCGGGGCGGGATCGTGCACGCACATTGCTGAGGAGTCCCACAATAGGATGA